ATGGCTGTCCCACCTGGCCCAGCTCCTGGCCCTTTAAGAAAAACAAAACAAAACAAAAATCCTGGAATCACGGGCTGCTGCAGCGGCCTTGGGGCTCCTGGAGGCTTATGGCAGAGCACCCCACATGACGTGGGGCAGTGGGGGGCAGCGGGAATTGCTCTCGCCCCCGGCAGCAGCCAGCGAGTGCGGGCTATTCTTTTCAAAGAGCTGGGAACTGGGGCAGGCAGGGCAGCCATTGCCGGGGCCAGGAGAGCGGACGGGGGGATAGGCCTGTGTGATTCAGAGATTCAGCTGATTTGGCAGCAGCCAAATCAATTCAGCACAGCGATTCAAATCACTGTCCCCCAAACTGGCTGAATCCAAAGTGAATACTAGCTGCTTCGCACAGGCCTGTTGATTATAAGGCAGCAGCCATGCCCATGGAGGTGACCCAGGCTAGTTAGACCACAAGCAGTCAGGCCCACTCAGTAACCAGGGGCAGCTGGGAACAATTTAGCTGCCTGCTGCCCTGACTCCTGACTGCATGTTTGAATCCCCTTGGGATTGGGAGTGTCTAGAACATGGGTGAGAAAAATACGGCCCACAGGCAAGATGGGGCCTGTCAAGTGATTCTGCCAGTCTGCAGTGGGTCCACTGGCCCTGCCGGGCCCAGGCACATGGGGGCAAACTGGACCATGGTGCGTGTGGCCAGTTCCCCTGAGAGCAGAGGTGCTGCCTGGAATGGACTGTAGGGCACCCTATCCCCCCGCACACAGCTCTCAGGCTTACCAGGAGCTGTAGTCCACAGGTCCAGACAGCATAGTAGCAGGGCAGGGGCATCCCAGCAGCAGGGTGGGGGTGTCCCAGAGCCTGGACTCAGTTTCCCAGCAGCTCCTGCGACGGTGGTTCACTCTGCCCTCACACTTCTGGCTGCCAAAGCCAGCGTCTCCATCATCCCGGCCAAGCTCAGCCCCACTGACTGGGCACCCCAGCTTGCTTGCCTTGCACCCACCACCAGGGGTGCCAGACAGAGCAGGTGGGCAGGCAGGGTCTCCATGGAGACTGGCCTGGGATCCCCACAGGCAGAGCACACTCAGCCAGACAGATGGGATGGTGCTGCATGCAGGTGGGGAGTGGTGTGTGGGAGCAGGATACATGGGCCAGGGCCAGGGCCAGGGCCAAGGCTGGGGTCAGGATCATGAGGCAGTGATAGCACAGGCCCAGGGTCTGGGTCAGAGCCGTGATCTGCTCCCTACATGCGCCTGCACTGGGTTCTGGTTCCACGGGCAGCAACTGGCCCCTGCTCCCAGAACCAGCGCCTATTTTAGGGACATATGGGGAAAGGATTGTGGCTTGCCCTGAACCCCAGCCCAACTCTGTCACCACTCCATGATCCCAGTCCCAGCTCTGCCCACCCATCCCACTTCTGGGCACTGCTCTCCACCCACCTGCAGCCCCATCCCATTTGCCTGGTTAAGCACACCCTGCCTGCAGGAGTCTCAAGCCAGTCTCCATAGAGACCCTGCCTGCCCACCTGCTCCATCCAGTGCCCCTCATAGTGGGTGTGGGGTGGATGGGCCCAGGGCTGGATAGGATCAACTGGCATCCCCACCACTGTGCCTGGTGGTGTAAACACCCATGACAGAGGCTGAGGCCAGGTCAGCACCTCCTCCTCCTCCCCTTTGGCCTTCAACAGCTCACCAGAACTCCTTCAGTGGCCCTCCTGCCCAAATAAGAACTCCTTCAGCGGCCCTCCTGCCCAAATAATTGCCCACCCCTAGTCTAGAATCTAGATCTTTTGCTTCCTGGGTGGGTTCCCTGACCACTAAGGTATTATAGAAAAGGTAGGTAACAGCTGTGTGTTCAGAGAACACACCACCCCAAAGGGATGACTTCTACACTCACAATGAGGAGGTTTCAGACTCTAAATCCCATTCTCATATCAGTGCCATATCATATCAGCGCACCCAAAGACATAAGTGTGGGAGAGAGGTGGGACATCACACACACACACACACACACACACACACACACACACACACACAATCTCAGTATTTCTTTTTGTCTGATTTAGGCATCCCTTGACAAGTGTTTTGAACTCCAATCCTAAATCTCATCAGCCAGAAGCGGATCCAGATTTTTACAACAAAGGGGTTGTGTGGAAGCACACCCCAACCAGGGCAGGCAGAACGCACCACAGGACCAGCGGGTAGGAACTTTTGTGAGTCCTTAAGAAGGTAAGAATTCCCCCCTCCCTTCCCCTCCATGCTATAAGGCACATCTCCATTTTCCTCCCTGGCTCCTCTCTTCCCATTCTCTCACTGCCCACCTGTCACTCCCACTTTCTCTGCTGTCCAAGGGGCTAGGGGAGCTCCTGTTCTGCTTGGCTCAGACTTCTCAGGGCCAAGTTCATCCCAGAACAGCAGCAGGCAGGCAGAACAGGTAGGGATGTGTCTCTAAGAATGGAGAGGAAAGGAACCGGGTGGGGGGGGTAGGAAAGGAGTCCTAAAGAATTCTTACTATCTTTAGGACTTTGAAAAATCCCTGGATACTGCTCCTGCTATGTGGTCAGAAAGGAGGGTGCAGCCACCCTGCTGCAACCCCTCTGGATCTGCCCCTGTCACCCACTCTCCATTTAACATACAGGCTAGGGACAGACATACAAAAAGCCTGAGCCTGAATTGATTCAATCTTTGCAGGTTAGTCTAACCTGGCTAGGCTAAACCAGTTTGTAATCGCCCAGACATCCCCTCTGGACTGACGAAATGCAGGAACCTGCCTTCAGTGGCTCAGGCTAGAAGCTGTGGGGGCAGTAGAGATGCCCTCCCTTCCCTTCCACAATGCTGTGCTAAGGGAGGAGATGTGGCCAGGCCCCGTCAGACCACCCTGATTAGGAAGGGGTGCCCCCTTCACCCTCACTGTTGATAACAGAGCATTGAGTTACACAGCAGGGAGTTGCACAGGGAGTTGTTAGCATTTATCAGCCCATCAAACAAAACAACAGCCTCTCTCATTAGTTTGAGCTCTTCTTAAACAACTTTTCCCAAGTAAGGAACAGAGGGACATTACCAGCTACCTGTTGATTAGCTCCAAAAAGCCCTAAACCAATACTGTCCTGTCTCCCACAGCACAGAGAGTAGCCAGTATGTAGTATCCTAGCTAAAGCTGAGAGGTGCCTGTGTAAGGCAGAGGGGAGGAGGGAATCCCTGTTTGCGTAGGGCGGTGGGGGGGGGGGGGGGGGGGGGGGGGGGGGGGGGGGGGGGAGCAGAAGGAAGCCAGGCAGATCCCGCTACATGTGTAGTCTCTGCCAAAGCTGTAGCCAGGGAGCAGAGGGCTGGGGCCAGCCCTGTTGGGCTGGAGGAGAGAACTGAGCCCCAACCAGAGTTGCAAAGTATCTGAGATGCTGGGGGACTCTGGTTTAATTTAAACCAGGAAGGGGTCTGGGACAGACACTGCATAAACTGGTTTGACCCAAATCAGTTAAGTCTGATACTACATTCAGCCAAGTTTATCTCAAACCAGTTTCAGCCATTTTCAAACTGGTTTATGTGCACTGAACATCTGTTCTGTTACATGTTTAAACCAGTTTCTGATCACTTAAACCAGTTTATGTTTAATGTCTGTCCCTAGCCACAAAGTAATTTGGCACCTAACTAGTATGTATGAACTCTACTCCCAGAGCTGGGTGCTTATCTACAGAGGATGGGAATGAGTAGGGCCATCATGTCTTACTCCCTTTTTGGCCAGTCCCTGCATTAAAATGCTTATAATCAACATATAAAACAAAAGGTGGCAGATGGATATGGATGATGGGAAGCACAAGACTACAAGACAGCATTAGCCAGCATGATGGAAAGTGTTTTCAGTGCCCTAGCAGTGTAGCCATTTTTTTTTTTTTTTTATAGGCATCACAGTAACACACAATTTTAGGGAGGGACTTTGAAGGAGAACAGTGTGCTCGCTTAGCAGATGGAGGCAACTGCCAACTGTGAGTGGCAGCATGTGTGACAGCATAAAGGTGTTTGCAAAAAGTTCCTTTCTGAACCTCTGAAGTCCTATTTTGAAGCTGCTGCTGATGTAGGTACATTTCACTGCAGGTTGCAGCTTTTGGAAAGAAAGAGGCAAAGTAGAGCTGTAATTTGTTGCCTGTAAGTGCAGCATCACACCTTGGTGCCAGTGGTCATTAGGCCCACCTCAGTACTGCCACCAGATATTCTGACACAGGTGCTTATGGGGTGGGCTCATCATCAGATAGTTTCACTGATGAATCTTTGGTAAACAGGGATTGGCTATATGAAAGAGATCTGTAGTTGAAGATGGAGGAAACAATGGAAGAACTAGGTTAATGAGATAACAGTGGGCTGTGGGATAATTCAAGAATATAGAGAGGCAGGAACAGATGTCCACAGAGATGGGCGATCTGGAAATGTGGGTACAGACTCTGTAGCTTCTCTCAATAAGCAGGTTAGCAGGTTGTCTGCCTGGAAAGGTTACTGGTTCCAGTGCTTACTGTTTATCTGTGGAAGGTGATATTTTGCTGCAGGCATAAGGAACTAAAGGGAAACAATTAAAAATAAATAGGCTGGAACCAAACAATTTTCCAGCTTTCCACTGAGAAGGTGCATTGGCAAAAATAGTTGCTTTAAAAACATATATTCTGACAGCAAGCAACAGAAATTAAAAGACACAAAACAGTGTGAGATCCAACCAAATTTCCATCCTCCAGCTGATAAAACATGAACAACATTGTCTTTTAAAATCAGAGCTAACAGAGTTCTCTTGGGTTGCACATATTTGTTTAAAATCTTCTTCCAACTTTTGCAGCAAATTGTGGTTTTAAGTACCTCTCTGGGTATAGCCGTCTGTCTCTCCCCCCCACTGGCATTTGGGCCATTGGCAGAAGGTTACCAACTTTTTACATTATTCACTAATAGAGGAGGCTCTTTTATCTTCAGCTTGTGTGTTTCGATACAGAGGTCTCAACTGCAGCTCATGACAATGCATCCGGCCATGTGGCAAACATTTGCAATGAGACAAACAACTTGGTAGCTATAGGGGCTGAGATGAGTCCCTTTTTCCAGCGTGGACTATTACAGTGACATGCACTTGTGGCTAGATATGCAGACAACCCTGGCAACATACAAGAAAGGTGCCAACTTAACCCAACACAGAGGCTATGATTTTTTCCTAGCTTGTAAACAAAAGGAGACTGACAACAGATAGCACTGATATCCACGTCGTGTTCACAACTAGTGGAAGCAAATCTTCCTTCCCCACCCCACCTGC